AGTATTGTTAGGAAATTATTGTGAGTTTTAAGTGTAAAAAGGAATGTTAGAATTTGATGATATGGTTTGTTTGTCTTAAATTCCATTGAAACTCCAAGGGTTGATAGCTAGAGGAGCTTAGCTTGGTGGCCTTGCATTAAGTTGGTGGCATATAAGGTGCGTGGACTTCCATTGAAAAATGTTGTACTATGAAAAGCATGAAAAATATGTGTTTGAAAAGAATGTGCCTAGGAAAATGTTTTTGTTATGGTTTGACTATTGAAGATAGGCACATGTGTATGAATGTATGTTTTTGTATAATAAACTTGCATCAATGATATACCATGTTATGTATCATTATGTTTTCAAAGGTAAAATACTTGATGTTTTATAAAGTTATATGATGTTGAACAATTTAAGTAATTGTAAAATGTTATGTGGTGATGGTAATGCAACTTTGTGAATTGTGGACTCCTTGATGGAGGGATTCAAATAATATGTATGTATTGAGCGGCATGGTAGCAAAGCTACTTGCCTTATGATATTAGATTATGAGAACTATGTAAATTATTTTATAATGGCTTACATGAGATAATTGTTTTTGGTAGAGTAGCTTACGTGAAGGACTTATCATAGCGACAACATCATTAGACATTGTGAACAATGAGTTCACCTTAACTAGCAAAAAAAAAATGGAAATGGTGCTAGCTTTATGGCTAGAGGATGGTAGAAGCGTTATATGAGGTCATTGGCCCATTGGACGATATCATGAGGGTTAGCTACCTAGAGGATAGTGGGGAGTGGAATACACTATCCATTGGCTTAAGGTCTATGGGACCAAGTTTGTACATAATGTTTTACTAGTAAGCTACACCTACCTACGTTTGATGAGTTATGTAATAAGGTTGAAATGATTTTGACTTAAATGACAAATTTAGTTTTTAAAGTATGTTTTTAAAGAGAATAATGTGAAATGTTTTGAAAGATGCTTTCTGGTTAAATGCATAAGGTTGGAGTTGAGAGCCTTGGAAAGATGTTTAAGTACTTTAAACTTGTAGATTTGAAAAAAAGTATCAATAACTTTGAATAAGCTATCAATAATTGCTCTTCAAGGTTGTTTTGAAAAATGCTTCTAGAATGAAAGTATCAATACATTTGGCAAAAGTATCGATACTTTTAAGACAAAATAAGTATAAGGATCATTTTGTTTTACATGTATCGATACCTATGGTTAAAGTATTGATACTTGTAGCCTTTTTCTCAAATATATGGACTTTCAACTGTTTTACCTATAGAAGCCCTACTACCTTAAATTGAAATATTAGTATGCACAGAAATGACTTGGGGAATTGTACATGCAATATTCATGGATTTGGTTTAAACCAAAATTGCATAGTTTCTAGGGAAATTGCATAGTTTTTTAAAAATTTCCTAATACAGTTGCTTGTTCCCTTCTTATGTCCCTCACTAAGTTTATGCTCATCATTTTCAAATTGCATGTCTTGGTTTTCAAATCTAAAGGTAGCTAGATTATAGTTGAGGAGTCCTACCCATATCCCTTAGTTGGTAGGAGTTAGCATCACATTTAGTAGCAGTTATCCCATACGTAAGGTCATTTTGTTGTACAGTCATAGGTCCATGCATGTGATAGGAATCTTGTATAAACACAAATGTGGTCACAACTTAGTAGTAAACTTTGTGAATATTATTTACATATATGTATAACATTGTTAGCCTTAAGTTATGTTATGTTTTGATTTAACAAAAATCACATGTTTTCTTATACTTAATATTAAGCATTAGAAATTGTCTGAAATACATTTTTAATCACCTAAGGTTACATATTTGTTTGAAAAGCCATGCTTTATTAGAAAATCCCTTATAAGCTTTCAAAAAATGCATATTCAATTAAGAATGCAAGAGCAAACATGCTTTGAATTGTTATTTGAATGTAAGAATAAGGAAAAGAGGAAATAATTAGAGAGAAACAAAAAAGCTAAGGAAACCTCAAGACATAAGCCAAAAGTCAATCCTAGAAAAGCTCGAGTCGATCCAAAGGTTGAAAGAGTGCAAACCTTGAATATCATAAAGCCATAGTCCACTATATTATAGAAAGCTCAAGAAAATCACGTTTCGAACAGACATAGTCGACCTTGACAAGTCAAAGGTAAGGAATATTCAAGATTACACAGCCATAGTCGACCTTGGACAAAGCATAGTCGATCTTGACAAGTCAAAAGAAAGAAAAAGTCAAGATTATACAGCCATAATCGACTATAGAGGAAGCATAGTCAACTATAGCAACTCATATTTGCAAGAAACAAACTTTCGGAAGATGGATAGATTAGAGAAAGATTATACTCGACTATGAAAACCCTAAATTGAGAAATTTGAAGAATATAGTCAACCCCAAGAGCGTTGTAGTCGACCCTTAAGCTTCAATAATGGTCAAACTTCTGTCTGACAACTCCAAACATTGCCCTAGTTATAAATAGACGCATTTGATCCATTTTGAAGTAAGAGAATACTTAAACCAAAGCTTTAAACCCAAAAGAGACTACGTAAAAGCTTATTTTTACTCTCTAGCATTTTTTTAGTCTTCCACTTAGCTTACAAAGTTAAATCCTTGTTTCATTCAAGTTGAAATTTCTTCTCTCACAACACCCAAGCTAAAATCTCTAGCATCCAGCCTTTATGAGGCAAATCTTTGCTATTACTCCTTTGTACACACATCTTGTAAAAGTTATAACTTAATATGGAAAAGCTATCTTGTATAGGTTATTGCTTCCCATTTAAAAAGCAATAATCCTTTTTGTGGATTTTGTGAGTTATCGCTTCATCTTGTGAAAAAGCAAGAATCTTTTTGTGAATTGTGTAAAGGTTATCATTTGATCCTATGAAAAAACCACTGTAAGGTTTATCATTTGATTCTATGAAAAAACAACAATTCTTTTGTGAATTGTGTAAGGGTTATCGCTTCCATTAAAAAACAAGAATCCTTACTAGTGAATTAAAATTCCTTAGTTACCAAGGGAGTGGATGTAGGTATTGAAAAAGTCGAACCACTATAAATTTCTTGTGTCTCTTGTTAATTTTTTGTATTATTAATTGTTTATATTTGCCTTAGGAATATAATTTTATATTAATTTATTATTTTACACTTAGATAAATATTTTTCCTTTTACTTAGCTAGAATTTAACTTAGAAAAAATATTTATTTTGACATATGGTTTTTGTGCTTAAGTGATTTATTGTTGAAAATTGTTTTTGATGCTAAAAGATATTTTGGGGTGAAAAAGTTTTGATCTTGATAAGTAGATTTTTTTAAAAAAATTTATAAACACCAATTCACTCTCTCTTAGTATATTTCACTTTGGGACTTTTACACTAATAAACATGATACTTTGGAGATATGATGTGAGTTAATGATGGTTACATGATTATGAATATAGAGTATATGGCGGTGAAGCAGGTTTTACACGTGTATGAGTGTGGGGCTTACGTGGGCTTAATAGGCTATGCCTATTGGGCCTTTATGCAGGTCATGACCCAAATGGGCCATGACAGTTTTATATGAGAAAATAATAACCTTATGGTGTTATATGAGAAAATGTCATATTACAAAGAATTTATTTATGTGGAGTTTACACATAAACCTATTTAAAATGATTAAAAAGTCTTTGTGAGATCTAGAGGTGTTTAAATTAAGTTAGACCCAATTGACACCTTTATAACTTAGAGCAGGATTATTCCATCAATTTATAGCATATTTATTATTAAAATATTAAAAATAATTTCTATATCAATATTTTAACATTAAAAAAATTAAATAAAATAAAAATAATATATTTATTTATTTATGTGGCAATATCTTAAGTCGAACCCGAGTGTCAAATATCCTGTTCAAAACTCGACTCAAAGATTACAAGCTTGGCGACCAACTCAATATAGGACAAGTTCTATCACCCACTTTTATTCTTGATTTAGGGTTTAGGGTTTAGGGTGAAACAAAATGTTCAAATTCAATATGGCAAAACAGACACGAGGCATGAGGCCGGCATTGAGCAACAGACATTTCAATCCTATATCATTGTCATTAATTAAAATACAAAGTACCACCCTAGGAAATCATGTCCATATTAAAATTATATTAACAGATTATTAAATCTCTCTCTCTTCCGCTATTAAGTACTTTGGAATTGCTAGCCCCCTGTCCCACAAGATATACAATTAAACCTCACATTTCTAAACTTTATCCTCCAGTCTCAAATATAACATTTCATAAGGCTTGTTAGAGCTTGAATTCGCGACATTTCTGTCCAAAATCCCCAAACCATTGAACAATCTCAATCTCTTCTCTTCCCTTGTTATGACAACTATGTCTAACTAGCGAGGTTGGGGTATAGAATGCTTAGTGAGAATGGTGGGCTAAAACCAAAGAAGGTAGCCTTTGTTGGCTCAGGTCCAATGCTTCTCACCTCTATTGTAATGGCTACTCATCACATGAAATCTACTCATTTCGCCAGCTAATTGCATCCGATGTCGAGTGAGTTTGACAAGAGGATGAAGTTTGTGACCAACGATGCAGTGGAGGTAAAGAGCAGCTTGGGGATATGCTTCGGTTGGGATGCGCAAAGAAGAGAAATTAAAGATTGTTGGGCACATAAGGAAATACGTCAAGGCAGCAGGATGCGACGTTTGTATGGAAATCACGTTCCTAAAACTAAACAAAGTTCCCAAAAGTCCCAAAACTGTTTGTTCTAAAAGTTATTCTATTGAATATTTAATATCAACTAAAACAAACGAATAAGCAATCCTCGTCTAGCTAAAGCTTATTGTGAAGTACCATATTGAGCAAATTAATTTCGTATGTAATATATATCTACATGTCCAAAAGTACCAAACTGCGTATCATTTACAATATTTATGAACAAACCTAACATTAAGATGAAGTTATGCCAGTTCTGAAGAACCACCTACTTACTAATTAACACAAATGATCGGCTGAATCACTCTCCGTCTTATAAGAGCCTTCTGGCTGCTGAGAGGAGTAAGTTGCCAAGATTCGTAGACTGCCCGGTGGTCCATGATCGCTTAACTGCAAACAGAGGAGGTACAAGTTAAGCAGACAAACGCAGCAGGTGGATTGAAATCAGAACAAGAGGATTAACAAAGCATTCATCACCTGGTTGTCATCCATCTCCGGAACGATATCATCACGCTAGAGGCTGTGATGGAACCTAATGTCAGTTTGTGATTTCGTTGTGCCATTGGAGACCAATTCTGTCTCGCCAATATTACTTGTTAGGCCTGTGGAACCTGGATATTGCACATTATTTGTAAAGTCCACAATAAACCCTCCATAATTTGGAACGCCACCTACGTGAAAGTTAATTAGTTAAGAAATAATTGAACAAGTGATGATGAAGAAGGCGTCGTTCCAAGCTACAAATTATCAAAACTAACGAAAGTAGTGAATATAGTTAAGTACCCGGAAAACGATTTGGGACAGAAGCAACAGCAAAAGAGGACTGGAAAGGAACATCTGTTTCAGGTGCCAAGAATGCATTTGAGGATGGATAAAATGGCGCACTGCTAGGACTACTAGCCTCGGAGCCCACATCATGAAAGTATGGTGGCCGAGATGTAATCCCTGGAAGAGGCTCGGATCCAAGATTATGAGGCTGAATATTCATTCCTAAGCAGTAATTATAATAATTAAAAGATTTGAAATCTGGGGTTTGAAAGTTTAGATCATCCAAACAACTATAAGGAACTGATTGATATGGTTTCTCTGGATCCACCAGCATGATGTCCTCCAAGGAGTTAAATGGATTAAAGCTTGGAACAGCTACAGGATCAGCATTAACATCGCCAGCTTTCCCATATCTGCGGTTGGTTCTCTTTGTGGATGAAAACCGGGTAACACTTTCTATATCAAAACTTTGTTGCTTCTTCAACGACATTCTATATTTCTGAGACACAAAAAGATGAGGATCATAAGGAGGAGCATGGACAAACTTGCTCGCTTTCTCGTTAGTATTACACAAACAAAATCTCACTGTTATCTTTTAGCCGCAATACAAATTAACATGCGTATAAGACTACATATATTCTTACCTGCAGATGACTAGCGACCTTTGCCCGGGTGAGTCCCGGTTCCTTCATTATTTCAAGTATCCTTTTTGGATGAACCATTGAACCTTATAATCACAAAGAAAGAAATAATCTCTGTTTTAGTAACAGCTAGGTCTAGGGTATATAGAATAGAATATATAGTCATTATATACAGATACACACCCTTACACATGCAGCAACTAATTTCTACTTACCCTTTGACAGTGTCTGAACAGCTCTTACAAACTTGGCATCAAGCTCCGGGGTCCATACCATCCTCTTTTTCCTCTGACAACTAGAAGAGGCATCATCTAATGGAGTGTTGTGTTTGTCATCTTCAACTGTAAAACTAGCATCGGAATGCTCCGAAGGCTTCACATTTTGGTGGTCCGATGATTCATGGGTGTCCGTAGATTGTTGAGAACCCCAGTCGGTGTTGTTAGGAGCAACGCAGTGCCAAATAGCATCCTTGATCTCCTGCACCCCAACGGGCTTTATGATGTAATCTACAGCACCATAATTTAGACCCTTGATTATGTTTTCTAGACTGCCATCTCCAGTCACCACTGCAATACATAATTCCAAAGCATGCATGATCAAAAGCTTTGAAGTGAATTATATATAATTATGGAATCTGCTTGCTTGATATAAATTAATATGCTTTGAAGGAAATTAATTAATTTTACTTACTTATCACAGGTATATACATCTCAAGTCCTATAATCTCCAGAAGCTTAAAACCCTTGATGTTAGCACTATCAACATCAACAAGCACAACATCAAATTCATTTTTGTTTGCTCCCAATATCTCTAGAGCTTCAGCAGCGGATGTTGTTGCTTTAACTGCATATCAAAAGGGCAGGTTTTGCAAAAATAGCATTTAATTAAGTTTGATCTCCTTCATTAGCAAAAGAAAATAAATTATATCAATTATCAATCAGAAAATAAAATAAAAAATAATAATAATCTGGGTATACATCGCAACTAAAAAAAATCGAGATAGCTAATATATCCTTTTGGACGTTTAATTTCTTGCTGGCAAAGGAATTACAATTAAACAAATAATTTTTTTTAAAAAATATATCCATAATTTTAAAGGAAAGACAATCTTCATTGATTGTGATAAAACTGCTTTCATTCTTTGAACTTGACCTAATCAATTACTTATAGGAAGTATTAAAAAACCTTTTGAAATTACAGCAAATTGAGTGCAATCAAATCAAACTACATTAGATTGTATCAACAACATCCCTCCGAAGCCAAATTAAATTCCAGATTTGTGAAAACCATAATTTTAACTAGACTTAAGCAAGTAACACCCCAGCAAGACTAATGCTTTAAAAGTCCAAATCTAAAAACATGAATAAACAGAAAACATAGAGAGAAACAGCATGCATATTGGATATACCTTTGTAGTTGCACTTATGGAGCACAACACTAAGATACTGAAGGCTGAAAATCTGAGCGTCGACGGCAAGAAGTCGTAACTTGTGGACAGCAGCATCATCATCAATTTCAACTGCTGAATTCTCAGGGCGTTTATTAAGAAAATTCTCTTCCATGATATAATTATACCGAGATATCTCAAGTTAACAAGTTTAATCTTATGAAAGGCTTTAAAGACTTTAAATGATGACAGCAGGGCTTCTAGCCTAGGGGATAATTGGAGATTACACCGTTTTAACTGGGAAGAGAAGCCAATTAAAGAAACTTTTGGAGATCCTTTGATTGAGGAGATGCCAAGAAATTTCTCACTTATGGAAAGTGGAAGATTTTACTTTCCAATTAAGGTTGCCTCTTCAAAGTTTGCCCTCCTTTATCACACTTAATTTTTTTTTTCCTTATATTTGTTTGCTATAGTGTAACTTGATCATAAAGCTGCACGTTAGGGGAACTGAATGGGTACCCAATCAAAAAAAGCCACACAATCCATCTTAGCTTAAACAATTTTCTATTTAAACTCAATCTCATAGTAAAAATATATAAATTAAGTAGAATGAAAACTTTTCGAGATTTTCATAAGAAAGATATATTTTTTTCCATATTTAAAGAACAAAAAGCAAAGGTTGATCTCCAATATCAAATTAATTGTAGAATATATAGTTTTCGGATATATATACTATAATGATCATGCTTAATTAATGCTAAATGACTTCATCACTTGTAATTAATGTAAAATAATGGGTATTTCTCCTCTAGCCAAATTAAAAAAAATATATGATAAAAGAAATAAAACAATGGATGGAACCGTGCATGAAAGAGACCCAAAGGTTGAAGAGCAGAGAAAGGAAAATAAACAAAACTAGGTCATTCTCAGCAGCAAAGAGGCTAATAGGATCCACTGTAAGCCACCACAGAGACAAGGCAAATAGCATCTGGGTGTCCTGAGCGATACCCATCCTCGATGTCCTATGTTTTGACGTTCAGCCTCTTTAACCTGATCACAGTAATGTGTTTCCTCTAGGCTCTATCTGGTAATTCCTTAACCATGAAAACTCATCCATCTCCCTTTCATCTCCAATGGCCTCCAAGCCTTCTTTCCCAGCATTTGAGATTGATTCTTCTGTACCAGATGATGCCATACATAGAATCAATAACACAATCTACGTAAACTTGGCACACTAACACATGATATTTGTCCTCCTTGATTCCCAACACTATCTCCTCTTCAACTCTTATGTATGAGCTGTCTCGAAAGACAACAGATTTATTAATTGTATCTTGTGCCAAACTATGAAATTCCACCCATGAATCGGTATGCCACTTAGTGAAATCCAACTCCTCCACTTTCGGGGATCATCGCCATTGCTCAATCTTCTCAAACCATGTTGACAATTCAACCCATTTGATCATTTTGCATTGTATTCATGACTAAAAACTCATTCTTCTATCCGCTTAATTTTAACTCTTGAATATTTTGTTAATTAAATTTGTCGAACTTTCATTATAATTATTTCAGTTTCTAGAACATATATAGGTTGATAAATAAGAACAATTACATTATTAAAAGTAAATGAGATTTAATATCTGAGTACAAATTAAAATAGCAGTTACAAAGTCCTTCTGCAAATTTGTAAACCAGACACAGAAGAAATTAAAAAAAAAAAGAAAACAAATACATCAAAGAGCAAACTCTTTTATAATCGGAGGAAAGCAATCCTCATGTTTTCAGTCAAATTGGGTTGAGAAAGGGAATAATAGAAACCATATTGGTGGAGGAAGTGAGAAAAAGGATGGTAGGCTGTGTTTTTGGAGTATGTTGGCAAAGGCACATTCTGTTGGAAGGCTTTGGGGGACTCGCTTTGGATCTGTGCAGTAATTATACACCATGTCCATGTAATCCTCCTGCACCCATTTCATTTACCCTTTCTTTGCAAAATCATGCTCTTCCCAAAACCATGCATTTTTGTTTGAACTGCAATAAGATGATCCGGATGACCAGACGCAAGTATCGGCATTGAAGTTCCTAGAGGAAGCCTTGAAGGGGGCATCACTCCAATCTGTTTTGACAAGTCCACCCCTAGTAGTCCAGTCATCAGCATTGCTAGAGTATAAATGTATAACCTCAGTTTCTGTTTCTTTGGAAATGGAACCCCCAGAAACTCTAGGTTCTTGGACTCTTTGATGGGGATACCATCAACATAGAATCTGAGATACATTAAACAAGTAATAGAATGAATATTTGTAGGAAAAATGATGCAGATTCCAGGTTTACAGTAGAATTCCTATGCATGCATGCTTACACAATGTGCTGGGAGTTCCAAAGCATGGAGTAGCTGTGAAAATCTGCAGTGGGGTCAACCCATAGGAGGAATTGCTGTTCTCTGTTGCCCTTGCCTTGGCTGAATACATTAGTATATATGGAGAACGTAAGGCTGTCCACTTATATTCCCCAAGAATTCAGAATCTATCTGATCACAAGTCTCTCCTTTTGAGGACAACTGTAGCACATATGGAGAAATTAGTTGAAAGTTTATGCCAAGAAACTTGAAATTGTGACAGCTTCTATATATAAAAAAGAGGACTTACGTAATAGGCAGTCACTACTGTGCCAGCAGAATTGCCAGGGACAAGCTTGAGATGCATACCTATGTAGTTGCACTTATGGAGCAAGGCACAAAGATACTGAAGGCTGAATATCTAAGCGTCAATAGTAAGAACTCCTAACTCGTGGACAACATCGTCTTCAATTTCAACTACTGAATTCTCATGGCGTTTATTAAGAAAATTCTCTTCTAGGATGTAGTTATACCGAGATATCTCAAGTTAACAAGTTTAATCTTATGGAAAGGCTTTAAAGACTTTAAATAGCCGCAAGGTTTTTAGCCAATAGGGGTAATTGGAGATAACACTGTCCTAACTGTGAAGAGAAGAAAGTTTTGGACTCTAAAAAACTTTTTTCTGACAGAATTTTTCGTAGGAAATAATGAAGCTTTGGTTGGAAATTTTATCTCCAAAAGTGTTGTTGGGAATACTTTTTGTCGGAAATCTATCGAAACTTCGTCGAAAGTTTTTGGACGGAATTTCCGTTGGAAATATACATAAATCCATCAAAAAAGAGCTTAATTTCGATAAATTATTTTTCACAAAATCCGTTTTAAAACATAAAAATTCTAATAGAAGTTTCTGTTGAAAAATTCCAATGGATTCATTGACAGAATTTTCCGTTGAAAGTTTCCAACAGACGTCCGATGGAAGCTTCCGTTAGAGATTGCCAATGGAGTTTCCTTTGAAAATTTGAAACGAAAATTTTCGTTGAAAAATTTGTCGATAATTACCAAGGAAGAATTTTGTTGGAAACACTCTACCAATGAAATATTTCGTAAAAATCCCCAAAACCATAAATTTGTCATTAAAATAATTATAATTACAAATTAATAAAAATAAGCTACACAACGTACAATTAACATGCAATTAAAATACTTAATTCAAAGTCAAGTTAACAGAATTAAAAATCATTACAAACACATAATATGCAAATATAAAAATATAGTTAATTGTGCTATTGTATGCCATATTAAAAAAAGTATCTAAGTCAAATTCCAAAATACGCCATTATATGAAATGTCACCTTACTCATCAAAATCTGAGCTTGAAGCACTCACATGGCCTTTTTTTCAAACGTTTTGTTGTCATCATTACTTTTATACTTACCATAAGTTCATTCATGGCTCCAAAATGTTGCATCATTTGCTCACTACTCTTGTCATTTGATAGATTTTTCATTTTTTTTCCAACCTAATGTCAGGATCGGTGAAAAGACTCGCTACTGACTCACATGTTGCTGCATCATTAAGCATAATTGTAACAAGCCTCCAAGAACCAAACTCATACACGTGAGTGCGTGTAGTTGTCTTCCCTCCAATTGCTGCAGTCCAAGCATGCGGATCAAATTCTGGCTATGAGGATGAATCTTCATCGTACTTTTGTGATAATGTAGCAGTATATGTTTCCTACAAATAAAAAAAAGCAAAAAGAATTAGTATATAATTTTATTGTTAACTTTAGAGTAAAAATCAATTAATTTTTGACGTCACTAATAGTTTTTGGCTTATTGTCTATGAAATCACCATGACCCCTTAAAACGTCTATGGGTGTGGTTGAATACTTCCACAAAGCTAACATCTTGATTCATTTCATTTTGCTGCATTCATTTACAACTATACTCAATTATAATGCATATATTTTACATAACATGTAAAGCATATTAGAATATGGGAAGTAGTAGTATGCAAAACATAATAAATAAATATTAATTCATACCATCTTTTTTGCATGAAAAAGGAATGGAATTGAACCACCAATGTACTTCGTAATACTTGCCTATTTTAGCGTTAAACGATTCCTTCTTGTCTTGATTTGTTTTTCCATTCTTCTGTACCTTATACTGTATCGATAAGGGCATCTTAAACTTCATTTGTGATCCATTGCCTTGACATGCCCTTGTAGTCCATGATGTTTTTTGTGTTTGCTTCTTTCTTTGCTTATGTCCTTTCTTTTGAAAGCATGTCTCTCAGTTGATCAGAACAAATTTTATTTCATATTCATTTAACCAAAAGATATTTATTTGAAGCCTAGACAAATTTTTCCTATAATAAAATAATAGAGTAAATAAAAAATTTAATACATAATTAAAAACAAAAAGTTATAATTTAATTGAATATTAAACATATACCTCGAATTTCTTAAACATTAAATCCTTAACATTATTATGGATTTTCTTTCATGTTGGCCATGGATTGTGGAAGTGATTTTTTATGATCCTTGTTATTGTTGTGGTGACTCCTATCTCAAAAAAAGTACTACCACAAGATAAAAAAAATTATTGCTTACTAAAATATATAAGAGATATAACTATTTCATTACTATATAATATAATATACCTATCTTCAAAAGGAGTTATAAGTAATCTTTGAGTTGGATCTATAAGTGTATGTGTTCCTACACCAAGACCTCTACCTTTCGACCTTGAGAATGTACCATCTTCACTTACACCTATATCAACGGATGTGGATCCATGAGAATCGTGGGCAAATGCCACATTCATTACTAGCTCTATAGA